CCCCCCCCCCCCCCCCCCCCCCCCCCTTTTTTTTCCTTTGGGGGTGGTTTTTTTTTTTGTTTGAAAAAAAAGATATTAAAAAAAAACCCCGCCCCCCGGTTTTTTCCCCGGGGGGGGTTTTTTTTTTTCGGGGGGGGAGGAAATATTTAAAAAAACACAATTTCTTTTGTGGGTCCGGCAACCCGTTTTCCGGGGGGGGTTTTTCCTTTTTTTTTTTTGCGGAAAACAAAAAGGGGGGGGGGAAAAAAAATTTTGGGGGGGGGGAGAAACCCCCCCCCCCGGCAAAGGGGAATACCCCCCTTGTGTTTAAAATGGGTAAACCCCCCGGGGGGGGGTAACCAAGGTTTTCAAATTTTTTTGGGAGGGAAAACCCCCAAAAAAAAATTTATTTTTTCCCCCCTTTTTTCGGTAAACAAAGAAAGCCCCCCAAAAGGCCCAACCCCCTTTGGGGGGGGGGGGCCCCCCTTTTTTTTTTTCCCCAAAATCCCCCCGGGCTTTTACCTTTTGGTATTGGAAAACCCTTTCCCGGGAAAACCCCGGGGTTTCCCCCCCCGCTTTTTGGGGGGGGGGGGGCAAATGTTTAAAGGATTCCGGCCCCCCGGTTTTGGGGCCCCCCCCCCCCCCCCCCCCCCCCTGAGGTGGTTGTCCGCGGAGATCGGAGGTGAACGGATTGAAGGAAGGATTGTGCTGTACCCGCGCCTATCCTGGGTAGCTGGGTGCTGCTTACAGCGCTTACCCGCACCAGAAAGATTCGCTTTTTCGAGTTTTGGGGTCCATGCCTCTTGTGCGCGAAATTGTTTCGTTGGACCGTTCACCTCCTACAGTATCCGCACACATCGGTCAAGTAGCACACCGGCCACACCACCAACAATAAACCTCACCCCGAATGCTATTCAATGTGCAAATGCCCCCCCCCACCCTCCATGCGACTCTCCGAATACCTCACGGCGCTTCGCGCTTGGTGATGTGAGAGCCTGGTCCGGTGAGAACCCGGCGTGCTCCGTCCCGGCTTTGTCGGGATGCGAGGTCAATGGTCTAACGACTACGGCATGCACGACTATGAGTACCCCCCCCCCCCCCA